AGAAGGCCAAAATTCATGTAGGTAACCAAACATTTCCAAAGAGATTGCTCGAAACAATCGGGAATTTGAATTGAACAAGCGAGGATGCATGTTCTACTGTTACAAGCGTCCCTATTTAACGAAGAGTCATGACCCAGTCGTAGGTAGCGCAATGGTTGGACGGCTTGCGAGTCCTCCTTGCGGGGCCATCGTCGGCGGCAACTCTTGGTTGGATATGGTCGATGTTGTCCTGGCCCATGTCCAACTCATCGCAAGGTGTGGTGCTAGACTAGTACTTCTTCTGTCTGAAAATACTTGTTACAGAAATGCATAAAAATGAATATATCTAAAACTAAAATACGTCTAGATTCATCCATTCTTTTGACAAGTATTTTCGGACGGAGGGAGTATTATGCATACACTATTGCAGGAATGATCAACATTGGTGGGTGCTAAATCTCCTTATGTGGTGGGCGAGGCTCTCAGTGGCGGGCGCTAACATGTCAACAATTGTGGCCAGGTCGCCTGCCACTGGTAGGACATTTTTAGCGACACGCGGCACAGCTTAGCACCTGCCATAGCTCTTCTACGTAGCAATGGCGGGCTTTAGTTCACGCCCACCACAATCATATGTGGCGGCAGTGATAGTCCCCTTTTATGCCCGCCACTATTAGAAATCCAAGCCTACAAGAGAAACGTTGTCGCAACATTGTTTGTCGCTTTTGTGGCAGCATTCTAATCATGCGGTTGCATCATTTTGCACTAGATCATGACATTGCTACATATAAAAAATGTTGTCTCAATATTCAAACGTTCATCCAGATGCATACAACACATTACAATGTCTAACACAATAATTAAGAGTATTAGTGAAGCAAACATAGTAAGAAGTGTAGGGCAACAAACATGTCTCATTACATAATTAACAGTGTTACAAGTTGTTTTAAAGGAGTTTTATCTACCTACTGACTCGGGATGTCTGCAGTCGACCAGAACAAGTCATCACGTCCTTCAAATGTAGTCAGATTTGTCGTATAGGGGGGTTTGGGGAACGCTATGCTCTTAGCTGTAGGTCTCAGAGCAACTCCAACGGGGCGACCCAAATGAACGCGCGCTTTGTCCGCTTTTTGTCCGTTTGGGTCGGCCAGGCGGACACGCACGTCCGCATTTTAAAATAGATTGGTTTGACCGCCCAACGGGGAGGCCGACCCAAATGTGCCGGCGTGAAAAAAAAAAACAAGTTGCACGAAATAAACATAAATAAATATAATTAAACATAAAGTGGCCGGTCAAACGCCGGCCAAAGTCCACCTAAATCTAATAAACATTAAATAAAGTCTGCGCCCGCCTGCTGCCGCCCCGCACGTTGCCCTAGACGTCATCGGCCTTGCCCTTGCCCTCGACGCCGCCGTCATCGGTGAGGTCGATGAAGACCGGAGCAGGGCCAGCGCACCCGAGCGCTGCCTGGTACGCTGCCAGGGCAGCTTCCTCCGGCGTCTGCTGGGGCGACGGCATTGCGGCAAGCCGCGCACCCTCCTCCTCCTCCTCGATCCGAAGCACCTCGGCATCGCGTTGGAGCATGGCCTCGTAGCGCATCTGCTCCTCGCCGTCGGCCTGCTCCTGGCGGAGCGAGTGCTCCTTCCATCGCACGAGGTGGGCCGCCTCCTCCTATGGTGTGGCGGCGAAGTGGACGGGAGGCGCGCTCACCCACTCGCGGTACTGGCCCGTCCACGAGTAGGCCTCCTCCGGCCAAGTGGGTGGAGGCGGGGAGCGCTTACGCGACGGCTCCGGCTTGGGCTGGACGGGCGGCGATGGTGGAGGCGGCGGCACGAAGAGCGGGGTGTGGACGGAGTCCCCCCGCCGCCGACAGGGCAAAGGCTTGCTCCAGCCCACCCCAGTGTGTGTCCTCGTCGATGCGGCTAGCCTCCAGCGCGTGCTGCAGGGCCTCCTCGAGGGCGGCTTGGTACTCCGCCTCCGCCTCCATGTCCTCCGGCTCTACATCCGGGGGCGGCGGTGGGAACGGCGGCGGGACGGCGTCGACACCCGAGCGTCTTTGCTCCTCGTGTTCGAGGGCGAACCAGCCTCCCAGTTGGGAGAGTCGGCGGCGTACTCGGGCAGCCGACGCTGCTCCGACGTGAGCAGCGCCCGGCGCAGGCGCACCTTGTCGTTGTGCGCCTGCTGGGTCCGCGGAACCGCCGGCACCGGGATCCAGTTTGGATCCAAATGCCAATGGTGCGGCAGCGTCACGTCGGGGTAGGGGAGGGGCTGCCTGTACCTGTGTTTTGATTTTCGGCCGCAAAATGTGGATTTCGGCCGAATTTCGGCCATCTCGGCTTGAGGCGAAAAGTATATGTAGGCCGAAATTGCTCAAATTTGATAAATTTTGGTTAAATTTAAGTCAAATTGCAGTCAAAATTTAGTCAAATTTCAGCCGAAAATTTTGAAAATGGCCGAAATTCGGCCATCTCGGCCTAGGGCGAAAAAAAGCTCAAACCGAAAATCAAAACACAGGCCTGTACTCCCAGTGCCACCGCGCTTGGTGCACCGGGATGTGCAGGCGCCGGCGTTCAGGGCGGAAACACGCCGGCGATGGAGGGGGGGGGCACGGGATGACGAGGCGCCGGGGTGCCCTTGCCCTTGCCCTTGCCATTGCTGCTGCCGAAGAGGCCCATGGCGCGCGCTAGGGTTTGCGATCGCCGGCGAGGAAGCAAAGGGAGTGGTGGGGGCCAGATGTGGACGGGAGAAATGGATGAGGCTGACCCCGCCGCACGCGTGGTTAAAAAAAGGACGCGCACACTGGCTGACGCGTGGGCCCGCTGTCGGTGGTCGTCATAAATAAGACGACTGGTGGCGGTTGGGTGGCCGCCAGGTGGGGACGCGACGGACGGCGAGGAGACGCGTGAAGCGTTCGCTTCGCGTCCGCGCCGACGCATTCCAGGCGCAATTTTGGGTCGGAAATGGGTCGGCGCGGACGCCAGGCGGACACGATTTAAGTTTGGGCCGCCACTTTTGTCCGCGCCGACCCAAACGGACGCGGGCGGATGAAATGGGTCACCCCATTGGAGTTGCTCTCACCGGTCACACATACATATACTCCCTCCGTTCCTAAATATAAGTCTTTGGAGGGATTTCACTATGAACCACATATGGATGTATGTAGATGCATTTTAGAATGTAGATTCACTCATTTTACTCCGTATGTACTTCATAGTGAAATCTCTACAAAGACTTATATTTAGGAACGGAGGGAATACATGACAAGAACGAATAATAATTGCACTTTTTAAGCTCGTAAATCTCATAAACCAGCCAGCCATCCGCTCAGGTGTATAGGAGGGCACCAGGCTGTAGATGCTCTTAGCTGTAAGTCTCACCGGTCACACATACATATACTCTAAACAATGAAGTAGTGACTAAACACTCATATTTTTTTACAGATGGAGTACATGAATATTTGCACTTGATTTAAGCAGGATCATTCTCAATTCAGAAGTACGATCATGAAAGAAGCACCTATCACTACACAGGTACAAAGATAGCAACCCAAATGCACCCACAGCACACTGTGATAAGTATCAAAATTGGATTACTACATAGTAGTAAGTAGAATCTGTGAGAAGTACACAAGTACCTAGTGACATAGATACACCCTCAGCACACTAATCATTACTGAGACAAGTACCAAGATTAAATTACTACATAAGTAGTATCTGCCATCAATACAAAGTACTCAGATAGTGACATATATAAGTACAAGATGATATCACTAGTAAGGGTATAAGTTGGTACGCGGTTCTGCCCCCAGCTCCTCGTCAGATTTCACTGTAACATTGATGACCTCTCGCGTGCACGACACTCTTATGGGAAATGAGATGCTTCTATTGATGCCCAAAGCCCCACTGCCTCTGTCTATCAACAGGAAATTGCCATTTGAGCACTTGGCCAGCCAAACTTGTCGGCCACCAGGATTGACTGCTCCATAACCAACAATAGCAATTGAATGTGCAATTTCCCTGTCATAAATTTCAGACAGGGGGAAGTTGGGTCCTTCCAAGACAAGCACGCCAGCCTAACATATGATAATTCAGGCATGTGAGAAAAGAAAATGTACAAACGTGGAATTCTAATCTTTCAGAGAGGAAAATACCTTCACATCTGCATAGAACTCGTCATCTGCCCCGATTGTTGCACAGACAGGCTGATGAGCCACCTGCCACTTCAGAACATGTTCTGAAATGCTTGTGTAGTTCACAGCGTCATCTATCATCAAGCCAGGCGCCTAAATAAAATAACAGAATTCAGGTTAGATCTAGTTGAACAAAAATAAAATCAGAATTGGAATTCAGAGTATTATAGGATTTGGCGTACAGTCAGTTTCTTGGGAACACACTGCTTTCCTATGTATGGGTAGTGATCTGAAAACACAATCCCTCCATTCCTTTTGATGTAGAGCAGGGCCTCATATGCCGAACCACCTTCACATCCATGATTCCGCAGATGGCTGCCATCCAAAATATGCTGCTCCGAGAGTTTGAATAGCTGTCCTGTTTGAATGAAGTGGAGACCCTCCAGTGAAGCGGCAGCTGAAAAGCTGAAACAACTACCTAAGACATTTTCAAAGCATGTCGATTAGAACACTTAAATTAGAATCAGAACTGCAGTGCTAGTGGAATGAATAAAATCATGGTAAACTTGATAGTACAAGGCTGATTGCAGAATGAACAGCCATATGATCATTTTAGAAAATATTAAGAGAAAGTCAAACTTTCTTATAGATGCAATCTGCAATGTAACAGAACCCAACCGGATAACATAACTCTGCAATGTAATAAAACCCAACTACATAACATATATTCAATTAAATGTAATAAACCCCAATCAGACTGCATACATCATGCACAAAGGATTGTTGAGCTTGCAATTACAAACAGATTTATCTATACAGCAGTTCAGCTTGCAAGGCAAAAAGCCCCATTTTAGAACAAAGGATTGTTGAGCAAGGCAAGAGTCAAGACGGTTGGAACAATAAGAGGCTGTTTGGTTGGCCACCTGGGCTCTATGCCTGAGAAAAATGCATGCCTGGTTTGTGCCTAGAAAATGCAAGATTTTTGCCTGGCCAGGCTACCTGGGCTAGGTGATGTTTGGTTTGCTTCCTTGGCCTGGACGAGTATTAGATTTGTGTGGAAGCTACTGCACTCTTTAATTAGTACGGACTGCTAGCTTTTGGTTGCCAGGCACCTCGATTTTCGTTCCCAGGTGTTGGATCTGGGTAGCCTGGCTCAGGCTAACCGTGTGCCTGGAAGGCTGGCCAGGCTAAGCGCACCTATACTTGGTCCAGGCCAGGCTACGTGGGGACTTACCAGGTAATCAACAGAACAGGATACAGGCAGCTTCCAGGCACATTTCAGGCCAGGCACTTTTACTCCAGGGTGAAATCCAAACACGCCCTAAATCTAAGCAGTATATTATCTAAGACCTTCCAAGCTGATATTAGACTAGCAGAGTCAAGATCAAAAGTGAAAATTACCACATTCGCCCTGGTTTTGCAGGGGTGTGACAGCGCCGAACTTCACCCAATCCACATATGTCGGTAGCCCATCAGAACCAATTGGACCGATAGCACCAGTCGGATAGTCCCCCCCAATGTTGGGGCCAGTTGCAGCACGCGATTCCTTTGCTCCAATTTTGGGGTCGACTGGGGCAGGCTCATCTCCTGTAATTTCAGATGATCCCAAGGTCAACCAAACGAGAATTGCCGACGGACTAATGCGTGCAACTAACCTCGAGGGATGCAATTAACAACGAGCAAGTGGTATATGAAGAACCTCACCTGATGAGGACGAAAACGCGACCACGTGCCGAGGAACGCCCTGCGACGGCGTAGATCGGGACAGACAGATGAGCCTGCCAGCCTTAGCGAGCCTCATAAGTAGAGCCATCGTTGCCGAGGGTCGCTGGTGATGGCGGCGGCGAGGGTCACTGGTCACGGCGGCGAGGGGAGATCGATTTTAGGGTTGGGACGGGAAAGCACGTCACCCTTTTTTTTACCTGAGATGGAAGCACACGGCCTAGTTAAGGGCTGCGAGCACGGTCTCGACCTGTGTTGGATTTGCGGCCCGGTTGGGCCGAATCTGAAGTTGGCTAGGTCCAATCAAAAGAAATTTGGCTTGGCCGTCAGCCATTTATTTTTACTACATAGTAATTGTGTAATATTAGCCGCCTCGCCCTCCCTTCGTCGGCGGTAAGAGGAGTGGGGACATGTCCGTCTCTTTTATTTCTCTTAGGTTCTTACTTCTCTGACGGCATCGACGAGGTGGTGGCGACGATGACAAGTTAGAATAAGGTCTCTCTGGTCTATCCCTATCTCGATGATGTCTGATCCGGCGCCGACAGGGCCAATGAGAGTTTGTGTCCCCACATCTGTTGGTTACAGTTTGTGTGCCTTTCAAGGAGAGCTTTTGGATGGTTTTTGGTGTGCCGACTTTGACATCTTCTCCGTTGTTCCGTGGCTTGCCCGATTTCTTAAGCCCTCAGAACTGGTGGTGATGGATTGTTTTGTGTGTGGTGATGCTTCCGTCGATGTTGCTTTGGCGATTTATAAATCTCGTATCAAGAGGCAAGTGGTTATTGCGGTTTTCAAAGACTGCTATGGCGAGTGCATTTGTATGTATCATTTTTCTTTGTCGTTGGCGTAGTGTAATTTTCAATCATCAACGGGAGGCGTACAATCGAAGGAATAACAAGACTAGTATGTTTTTAATGTAATTTTGTTTTTTTGCTTGTTCTACGTCTACTTGTTTATCCACGGTATTGGCTTTGTTTTTTCTTAATATTAATTAGATTTAAGATGTCTTTTGGTGTCTTTATTCAAAAAAATAGGCAAGATATAAATTGCATGTTAATATTAGGTAATTACTTGATTAATGCTGGCGTTGATATTAAAGGTGAGTTCTTTTGGGGCTTATGGATGGCTTCTAGAATAAGATGCCCCCTACCCAGCTATTCTAGAAGTCTAACCTAAATTTTAGCTTAGAAGCCAACTAATTAGGGTTCGGCTTCTAGAATAAGTTGAGCAGGGGCAGTGTCGGTGGGAAACGACACCTATGGGATCACTGGAATCCTTTCTGCGGTTGCGGGGCGCGGAATCGTGAGAAGAGCGGGACTAGTGGGTAGCACAAAGGGGATTTACCCAGGTTCGGGCCGCAAAGATGCGTAAAACCCTACGATCCTGCTTTGGTGGTTGTATTAGTGTTGTTGAGCTCTTGAACTAGCTCTGGGTGCTGCGAGGTTCCAAAAAGCCGAATCCCCCCTCAGTATGCCATGGGCCTCCTTTTATAGGCGAAAGGGGCTGTCACAGTAGCACACAGGAGGTGGAAAGCGCTACAGTGCTGCGTGGTTATCGCTAGCATTACAGGACGAGACGCATTAAATGCGGGCTTAGGTGTCCTTCACTTTATCGGGGGACGGGGGTGAGGCCCGTCCCGTCCGTCGCCGCCCCTCCTGGCTTCGACACGCGCCCCAGCCAGCAACGCATGCAGCGCCATGTAGGCAGGCATGCAGCTGAGGTGGCGCGGTGGTGGAGTCTCCATGAAGGTTTGCATGCTGCCACGTAGGTGCCTGCCCAGCTGGTTGGGTCGGTGGCTGCGTATAAAAGGCGGCAGGAACTTGGCTTGGTGCGGGCCTGACAGTGGCCTTGCCGGTGTGCTTGGCGATGGTCTTGCCGGGGCGCGCTGGCTTCCCCGGCGAGGATCTTGCCGGGGACTCTTGTGGGTTTCTTTGGTGAGGATGGTTGCCTTCCTATCCTCTCTTGATCTTGATTGCTCTTTGTCTTCACAAAGATCTGCATGCCACCACGGAGGTGCCTCCCGAACCCTGTCCCAATGCGACTGCTCAGCGTCGGTAGGCTCGAAGGTGGCTCTCTCCGCGGGTGTGGACGAGCTGCCCCGGCAAGGATCTTGCCGGGGCTGCTGAGGCTGCCCCCGGTAAGGGCCCTTGCCGGGGCAACCTGCATCGCCCGTGCGGCCTTCGTGGTCTTGGTCCTTTGTTGTTTGCTTTGCTTGTCCTTGTGGCTTTGGCTTTTCTCCGGCTTCCCTCTCTTTCCTTGCTCTTGTGTGGTCGCGACAGGTGGCTCTGACTGTCCGTGCACAAGTAAAGGGGTCAAAAGTTAGGCCCCTACTTTTGTACACCGACAGAAGCCCCCGGGCCTGGGCCACACATAAGCGCAGCACGTTGTTGCGCCAGGCCCAGAACGGTGCGCGGGCAGTTGGGGTGGATTTTACCGCGGCCACTGTTCCGCCCGCTGCGCTTCCCCGCAACCTGCGTTGAACGCGCGACGTGGGGGTCGTGTGCGTGCGTGACGTGGGGATGCTGGCGTCACCTTGTGGCGGACAGTAAAGAGGCGGCTCGCGTGTCTCATCGAGACCGCAGGGCTGCCTCCCATTTACTGCCCTCGCTCGGGAACCGTCGTCTCACGCGTCCCATTGCGTCCGCCCCTTGCGCCACGTTCGCCGCATGCAGAGCCAATGACAGGCGCAGGGGTTGTGGGTAGTCGTGCGCGTGCGGATTGATTCCCTTGCGCCTTCAATGGAGCGGGGAGGGCGGTCGATGACCCCGCTCGCTGTTATTCCAAGAGTCTGGATTGGCTGGGAGGGGGCGGCCGAGTCCCGCCGGCCTCTTTATAAAGAGGGGAGCGAGAGGGACGGTGCCTCTCAGTCCTTCACCATCTGCCTCTCTCCATTCATGCTTCCTTTCTTCTTCCGCCATGGCGAGGGGGCGTGGCGATGCTTCATCATTGGCGGCGAGGGTTTCGGCCCGACAACGCATCACTCCTCCCCAAGAACTCGTAGCGGCGGAGCCGGCCGCTAGAGGGAGGGGGAGGGGGCGAGGCCAAGGCCGCCGTGGAGCTCGGGGGAGAGGAGGACGGGGCGGCAGATCCGCCTCGCCCCCTCCAGCAGCCCTTCCTCCGATGGAGGGCCATGCTGGGGATAATCCCTGCGAGTTCTTCGTCAGGCCGCGCCACCCGCCACGCCGTCGCCTTCGCCTTCCGACCCCGTTTGCGCGGGAGATGGAGCTGGACCCGCCGCAGGCGCTGCGGCTACACATGAGGGGTTGCGGGTACAGCGGCACGTGGGTCGACGTCGAGTTCCCTGCCCCCACGTCATGTATCTTCACCGAGGGTGGAAGACCTTCGCTCGCCTCCACAGCTTGACGGACGGGCTCGCTCTCCATTTCAAGCTAATGAGGGTGGCCTCCTCTCCGTCAAGATCTTCGAGCACTTCGGGACCCGCGTGAGGCGCTGCGTAGAGAGATCCTTCGACGATGAAGAGTCCTCCTCAAGCGAGAGTGGCGAGGAAGACAACGACAGCGACGACGAGGGTAGCGGGCGGCAGGATGACGGGTCCGACTAGGCGTCGGGCGTCGCTCCGGGCGGCACCGGCGGCCCCATCATCCGCGTCGCCGGCTCCTTGAACTTCTCGGGGTCACCTCCTTGGGCGGCTGGCGTAGGGAGGCCGCAGAAGAGGAAGAGGACGAGCGACGAGGCCATCAAGTCGGAGTACGCGGACACCGACGGCTTCGTCGTGTGTTGGCGTCCTGCCGCCTCATCTTCGAGCTCTGCCTCCGGCGCCGCCATCACCATCCAGCCCTCGGACGGCCGCCGAGATATCCTCTTGGTGTCTTCTGCCACTCGTAGCTCGCCTAGGTGCCCCTTTTGCCCTTTTGCCTTTTTGTTCCATTCCCTAAGGAGAGGGACAAGAAAGGGATTACGGGCACTTTGTATCTTTTTAATCCTATAAGCCTTCGTGCCTTTGTTAACTTTATGACTCGTATTCCCCTTGTTCATGTTTTTCATTTCGTATGGACTGTACCTGTATGGGATGTTTTTTAATGAAAAAGGGACGTTTGCCGGGATTACGTTCGTGGGAGGAACCCATGGCAAGGGGTGAATCCTTGTCATCTTTCTAGACAAACGTTTTTTTCCCCGGCAACAGGCCTTGCTGTCTCCCCACCTCATTTGACCTTTCCCACGCTCTTGGCGGGGGCAAGGATGAAGTGGGCTTAGGCCCCTTGCTCCCTCCCTTTGCTGCCATGGCTACGACCAGATCCAGACTCAGGAAATAATCCTTAGGTGCCGAAAAAAGGGAGCACGGTAACTCAGAGATAGGACGGGGTTTCACGTGTCCCAGTCCATAACGAAACGCATGATAGGGGATATAAAACTTATCTGGATCTGCAGCCCTCGGCGATCTTGGCTTGCCGTGGAGAGATCCTTGTTGTTGTTTTTTTGCAGCTCCTGGCGATTCTGGCTTGCCGGGGTTTGGGTGCTGGTTCGTTTCCTTCCTTCCAAAATAGCTCGGCAAGAATACTTACGTGCCCTGCGAACCAAAGACAGGGATGGACAAAAACGCACACCCGACCTCTAAGCTAAGGGTTAGTTGCCGCCAAGCACTATCAACCCTAACCAAGGAAGAGACTCAACCTAGCATGCATGCTATAACTTAGGGCGCCAGCGCTTCGTTTATTTATGCTCAGGGTCTGCACCTGGCTTTCTACAAAGGGTTACATGCCTTGTCGGCAAGGCTTGTACAAAAGTATGGCTTGCCAGGAGGCCCGGCAGCCGCGCCTTATGGGTAAAACTTGCGAAGATGCTCGATGTTCCAGGAATTGCTCACGGGGACGGCATCTTCGTTCTCGAGGAGGACTGCGCCGGGCCTGGTGACTCGCGTTACCCGATAAGGGCCTTCCCACTTTGGCGTCAACTTGTTGGAATTCTTGGCCGACTGAACGTGCCGAAGAACAAGGTCGCCTTCCTCAAAACTCCGGGCATGAACCTTGCGGCTATGGTAGCTGCGCAAGGCTTGCTGGTAGCGTGCTGCTCTCACAGCCGCCCGGAGACGATCTTCCTCGAGGAGCGTCGCGTCATCCTGGCGCAGTTGCTCTT